TATATACATGTCAAGACATGTAACATTTTACGAAACCTTATTTCCCTTTCAAAATATACAGGAAAAAGTTGTGCAGTCATATTTAGATCCACTTAACAATCCTCACCTATTTATTCCTAAGTACATCTCCCAATATTCTTCTCATACAACAGACTTTACGCGACATATGTTACCTGAGCCATCTCTCCAGTAAAACTCTCAATCACAACAAATCTCGGTCAACATAATTCCTCAACCAAGTATTTCTCACTCTCATATGACCACAACTCCAATCCAAACAAACCATCACATTGACCTGCTACATGTTCATAATATTCAAAGTTCTTCATTCACACCTAAGCTGACATGCACAGAAGCAGTAAAATACTCGCATTGGAAGCAAGCAATGGCAGAAGAATTTTTGGCAATACAACAAACGAGTACTTGGAGCTTGGTTCCACCACCAAATAATAAACCAGTTCTTGGATGTAAATGAATGTTTCGCACAAAATTTCACTCAAATGGATCTATTTCTATATTCAAAACAAGACTTGTTGCACAAGAAAATTGGCAAGAATTTTACATAAACTATATCAAAACATTTAGTCATGTAGCCAAGTTTCCTACCATCTAAATTTTACTTACAATCGCTCTAATTCAGAACTGGCCAGTGCATCAAATGGATGTAATGAATGCATTTTTACATGGAAAACTAGAAGAAGAGATATATATGAAGCATCTGAAAGGTTTTGAAGATAATGACAACCCGAACCATGCGAGTCTTCTTCATAAAACTATTTACAGCTTGAAGCAATCACCAAGGAAATGGTTTAATACATTCTCAGACTATCTAAAATCTCTCAGATTTACTCATGCCAAAGCGGATTCGTCGTTGCTTACATTTCACATAAATGATATTCAAATGTATCTACTTATCTATGTATAAGACATTTTACTTACAGGAAATATTCAAAATGTTGTAAATGGTATTGCGCATCAACTCAACCATCAATTCACCATGAAACATCTGGGAACAACCAATAATTCTTGGGAAATTAGATAACTCATAATAAACAACATTATTTTCTATCACAAATTACATACGAATCATCCATTATTCAAAATGCATAGATTTAGAACTGCAAATCTCTATCAAATCTGACATGTACAAAACTATCATAGAATTATAAACTAGATAAGGTGATGCTTGATCCTTGAACATAAAGAAAAATCATTGGATCGCTACACTATATGACAATTATAAGGCTTGAAATAGCGCTCATCATCAATTTACTATGTCAACATATGCATAATATAATGCCTCAACATGCTTATATGCTTCAGTGATTAATTTGATATCTTAAAGGTACATTGCATTATAGAATACCGATTTTACATGGATCATTGGAACTTAATTCATTTTCGGATGCTGATTGGACATGAGATAGAGACACTCACCGATCTACATCGGGTTGTTGTACATTTCTTGATAAAAATTTTAATTTCATGGAGTGTTAAGAAATAAGGTAGCCAGATCCTCAATAAAAGTCGAATACATAGCATTGGCTTCAGGTATTATTTGGCTAAGAAAATTGGTACAGGATTTTCATATTGAGCAAAAGTAACCAACTGATCTCAGATGTGATAATATGTCAGCTATAGCACTTGAGAATAATCCAATATTCCATGCTAGAACAAAATATATAGATATCGATCACCACTTTATTCGAGATCACATTCATTCGTATACAATCCATATAATTTTTTTTAATATAAAGACCAAATAGCTGATATACTTACAAAACCTCTCTCCACTCCGATATTTTAAATGTTTCGACACAAGCTTACTGTCCAGACTTATCCATTAGCTTGAGGGGGAGTAATGACATCTATGCATTTAATCCCACATCATGCAATATTGTAATTGGCACCTATTCTATACCTATAAATATATACATGTATCATGTAATAAAGTAGTGATGAATACAAGAAATCAATCCTACTAAATTCACTTCTCTCATACGTTCTTATACTTCCTTACTTTGGTTATATCTTTTTTGATTGGATATTAAGGTCAATTAAGGAAAACTCATACGCATATCACATACACAAGACTTGAACTCAATACCTCTTGGTTGGTAACCGAAGCATCCACCACATTTTTCCGTTAAATCGCTTAACTTGATCTTTTGAGTGGCTACTTTGGTGTGTGAACTCAAGTGATGGATTATCTATTTATTTGAAGACATTAATACTTTGTTTGGGATAATTTTAGACCACTTTTTTTTTTCTACTTTCAAGAAATTTTTGAACTAAAAAGCAGCTTTACAAAATAATAAGAAAGTCATCCAATACAAAGCCTAAATGTTGGAGCAGATGGAAATCTCATGATCATTATCAGTGGTTCAAAAATTTAGGCTTCCAACTTCTTTTAGCTAAAATCATTCCAAAAAGCCATGTGTGCCTAATCAGCATCAAACCCATATGAACTCTGTGTTTCGCAATTTTGATTTTTTTGCCAAATACGTATTATGTCAAGTAAAAAATCATATTTATACTAAAAAAAAATCAGATATATACTATCATCGAGAGATAGTAAGAACTTTTAATATTTATTACGTGCGATATTTTGATCATTCTATAAATATGATATACTTTTAACTATATTTTTTTTCTTTATTATTGTAGAATAATATGTTAAAAATGAAGCTAAGTTTTCTGTAAGAATGGTACTAGTTTCAAACTAATTAATTTTTCTTTTTCTTTTGTTATTTTCAGTTATATGGTTTAATTGAAAATATATTTCCTAACTAATAAGGGTGTCAATAAAAGATATGATATGATATTTGACATAAATTTGACCTAATAAATACGAGCTTGGATTTATTGGATTAATTTTTTGGTTGGATTCAAGTTTATAATTTTGATCTGTTTAATAATTTGGTTGGGTTCGGTTCGACTAAAAAATTTTATTCTAACCCAATTTTGACCTGGAAGCAAGGGCATATCTTTCGGGGGGGGCTAATTTTTTTTTTTTCTTATGTGATTCTTTAGGTAATTTATTCCCTCATTCATTTTTTAGTCTTTATTACAATAATTTTTGGACAATTACCCCCCTAAAAGTTCTAAAATACTATGGTCTTTAAGCAATTGTCACCAGGATAATTAAACACATTGTGTAAAGGTGTTATTGTTAGATAACAATGAATCAAATACAAAAAGAAATAGTAAAGAGAATTTGAAAATATCCTTACAACCAAAATTTATTCCTAGGGGCGCTGGCCCCGGAAACCCTCAAGGGCTCTGCCCCTTGACCTTGCAAGTCAAATCCCGCCAAGGAGTGCTGCCCCCTTGGACCCCCAATATATCTACGAAGAGTACAATTATCAAGGATATAAACAAAATAGGAATCGAGCCAAATTCTACACTTTTACTTATAAGTTTGCCCCTCCTGAAAATTAAGGCTGATTCTGACCCTACCTGGAGGGACCCTAATGCCCTAAAATATCTTGATTTAATGCAACAATTCATGAAAAAGAAATTTATGAAAATCATGCACTCCCGTAGTGCTAGTGTTTTTCCTTTTCTACATAACAACACTACAACTAGATGTTGGAAGCATTGCTGCAAATATTTTTTTGAAATCTTAAACCTTATTCAATCATCCACATCAAAAAAGATTTATTCAGTCATGTTTTGATCATCTGGGTTGGCAATGGGTTAGGTTCAGGTCTAATTTAAGTGTTCGGGTTTGAGTCCAATTAAATTGTTCGTGCTCGAATCCACTAGTTTCAAGTTCACTAACTATCTTATCTACTTCGAAACCAGCCTATTAAGCCATTATGACACCCCTACTAATTAGAATGTTAGTGGTCATTTCAAATAGTACATTTGGTCTTCACAATCATTAACATTTGAGACTAATTTGAGGGGTCTACAAAGCCAAATTAAGAATGCTCAACATTTTGAATACCTAACATACAACTTCAAACTGAATTTTAAGTTTGAACTTCTAAAGTCTGCCACTTCACGCTTCAAATTGAAATTTAAGCTTTATTTAGGTGGTTGTAAAGCTAATACGAGAAAAAAAAAATTAAAAGTTGTTATAAAAATTAATTTTTTGACATAAAAATTCTTAGAAATTGCAGTTAAAACAAAATTTTGATTGCGATTTAAAAAGTAAAGTTAAGAGAAAGTTGCCCCAAGCATATCCTAACTTTGCATTGTTTACCATCCAATAAAAACCAAATTAAGCATAACATACGAAAAACCTTTGCAAAAGTATCAGTTATACACAATTTAAAATAAATTATTTATAATATTTTCATAGTATCCATTTTTTTCTTCAAACAAATAGAAAAAATAGAAGGTTGTTTATGATAAAAGATCAGTTACAAAAACAAAATGCTTAGATTCTCTTATTTAACACCAGTTAAAAAGAAATTTTAGTACATCATCTGTTACAGAACTTATAAAATAAAATTTTGACAAATCTTTTTATTTTAATGAAAATTTTAAACTCGGCTTATTATTATTATTATTATTATTATATATTAATAATTTTAAATAAATAATAAAAAATAAGATATTATTTAAAAATATCAATTGACATAATTTTCTTTTAAAAATTAATATTCATCATTAAAAAATAATCAAGAACCCATTTTAAAATAAGACATCTACATATTATATATTATTTTTTCCTATTTTGGTGTTAATTATTAATTTTTTAATCAATATTCATGCAATAATATATAACTAAATAATTGGTTTGAAATTTGCATAAAAAATGTAAGAAATAAATATTATTAAAATGACATTAAGAGAATTAATCTTATTAAAAATATTTAACTAGTCCATATAAAAATAATTACAAAACAAGACTTTCATATTTTTTATATAAATTAATTTGTTTAGAAAATTATTCTTCTTAACCAATTAAAAAAAATCTATTTTATCTTATATAGTTTGAAGAATAAAGTCATCAAACCATGAAATTTATTTAAAAGGACTATTATCTTCGGTAAGAAACTCCGGCGGAATATCATACCTTGGCGTAGTTCACCTTATGCGTATGACTTCTTCGCGGCTCTTCTTCCTCTTCTTCTCCGAGTGGGAACAGAGACCAAACAAAGTAGAGGTCAAACGATAAACAAAAAGGCGATTCTGTGGAAATTTTGATGCTTCTCTTACATTTAGACGGGTAGCAGATGATCGGTGGAAGGAATCTTTGTGGTAATTTGGCTTCTCGGAGAGGGTGAGGATTTATCTCTAACTCCTTTTTTCTCTTCTTTGTTGCTTCCTTTCTTTGATTGAGAATTTTTTGTGGTTTGATTGTGAACAATCTATGAGAAAAGTTTCGATTTTCTTAGGCGATGTTTTCTGAACTTTGTTGAAAATTTTATACGTTTTTTTGGTTGAGGGTTTTCCTTTCTGTGAGTAGTTTGCATTTGTGTGATGAGTGCTTGGATATTTTGTTCCATTTCTGGGTTAGGGTTTTTCCTAATTGAGATGTGTGAGATGTTTTATGCGTTTCATTTTTCTTAATTGTTTTTGTTATTTGTTCTATTGCATCTGAGGATCTCCTATTTTACTGTTCTTTCAGGCTTTGTGTTGGAACTGGAACAATCTTTTAGCTTCCAAGAATAATCCCCAAGGAAATGGGGGCATTGGGGTAGTAGATCTTGTGTCTGTGGGATGGATAAAGATTAGATTTTTGGGATATTAGCCTATCTGAAATGAGTTTAGTTCTTTATTAAAAAAAAGGTTGAATTTAGGACTAAAAGATTTGTTGCGTTTGGCCTTCTGAGTAAAGATTAGGAACGAACTTCAAATACTAGATTAAAAATCATTTCTAATTATATTAGAAATGAATTCAAAGTTCAAGCGTGTTGCTGAATATTCATCAAGTTCTCCTCAAATCATGGGAGATACTGCTAGAAAACTCAGTAAAAGCCAGCCATTTCCTCTATTTAATTCTTCGTCGGTTCATTATGATCCAAGAACTACACCATCTTTCCCTGAAATGTCTCTTCTTGATTCTCGATCACAAAGTTTGTGCCTCCTTAGTCATGAAGTTAAGAAGCAGGATCAATCAAAACCAATCTCCTGGGTTAAAAGTCAAATTCTGGATTGGGATCCGAAAGCGATGCTAAACAACCTCTCCTTTCTTGAACAGAAGATTCATCAAGTTCAGGACATAGTTCATTCCATTGCTAATCAGGATTCTCAGTTTTCTAACCAAGAAAATGAGCTAGCAGCACATCAGCAGCTTGTAACAGCTGATCTCACTTGCATAATTATTCAGCTTATCTCCACAGCAGGCACTCTTCTTCCTTCCATGAAGAACTCACTCACAACGGCTAACACCTTACTAGAGCCATTGGGGAGCATCACAACTTCTTCCAGTATTTGCTTTAATGATAATATGCAGCAGAAGGAGACTGTTCCATTAGAGATGGCGAAAGCTTCAGAGTTCGATGAACTTATCAGAGGATTAAGTGATTGTGGAACTGAAGGAGATGAACTGATCAAATGTTTAAAGAATAGCAGCAGTGAAGTGGCAGAATCCGCTCTCGTAGAAGATCATGATTTGAAAGATGCCGACGAAGGGGTGGACGGAGAAAACCTTCCTCCAGGTTCATATGAAGTCCTTCAGCTAGAAAAGGAGGAGATTCTGGCGCCTCATACTCACTTTTGTATGATATGTGGTAAAGGATTTAAAAGAGATGCAAACCTCAGGATGCACATGAGAGGTCATGGAGACGAGTACAAGAGCGCCGCAGCTCTTGCAAAACCAACCAAGGACTTGAACTCCGAACTGACGCCGATTAGGCGATACTCGTGTCCCTTCATTGGATGCAAGAGGAATAAGGATCATAAGAAATTTCTACCATTGAAAACTATTCTTTGTGTGAAGAACCATTATAAAAGAAGCCATTGTGACAAGAAGTATACTTGCAGTAGATGCCATACTAAGAAGTTCTCAGTTCTTGCTGATCTGAAGACCCATGAGAAGCACTGCGGCCGCGACAAATGGCTTTGCTCATGTGGAACAACATTCTCAAGGAAGGATAAGTTGTTTGGCCATGTTGCTCTTTTTCAAGGCCACACTCCAGCTCTCCCCACAGATGAGGGCAAAGCTGTAGGAGCATTAGACCATGGAAATGAAAATGAAGAAAAAGCTGTTCTTGTTAAAACTAGCTTGGATGGTGGTGCTAATGTTTTAGATGTTAGAGGGGATGATGATGAACGCGGCTTGTTTTCTCTTATGAACTTTGATTCTTTTAACTATGGAGGTTTTGACGAATTTTCGCAGCCAGGCTTTTGATGCCTCAGAGGGTATGGGTGACAGAGCTTTATGACAACAAATAGTAAGAATTTGAGCTCCCAACGTTTGGGATAACAACAATGGCGGAAGGAAGAAGGCAAAAGCTTTGGCTGGTAAACTGAAAGTTCTTCAAGATTATGATTTAGTTTGGGACGGCATTTTTACTGTTTCTTAAAGCAACTTTTTCGTACAAAAAATTAATTTTTATATTAAAAAGCTGTTTCAAGAAGTAAGAAAAAAGCTGTTCCAAATGAAGCTTACGTTGTTAGTGATTTCATGTCTTGTTAGTTTATGTTTAGTTATTGAATGGATGGAATTAAACTCAATAAAATTTGAGTGGTTTTGAACAGAATTGTTGGATTTTATTCTAACCATTCAATTTGTCTTGTATGGGCCACCCAGCTGTAGAGAATCCGAACAGACCGGACCCATGATAATAATGTCAAATTATTTATACAGATATTTCAAATCAAAGAGATGCGTGTCTTCTTCTTCTCCTTTATTATTTATTTATTTATTTATTTTGGATAGCTTAGTGGATTTAAAAGGTTGGAGAATCTAAATCGCAGAGGACTTTCAAAGCACATAAATTTATGTGGCTTAGTTTCGTCGGTCTGTTCGGATTATGGAGTAACAATCATGTCCGTAAATCAATAAATCCATAATATCGATGAATCAATAATGTCGGCATCTATATCCACGAATCCATACAACATCCATATCCATAGCGGTGTTGGTATCCATGAATAAATACAACATCCATATCCATAGCGGTGTCGGTATCCATGAATCAATAACACACAATATCAATAAAATCGTGCAATAACAGAAACCCATGAATCCGTCGATAAATCCAATCAGTAAAACGTCAATTCAATACAATAAATCCGTCAATATCAATAAATCAATCAAAAATCAATAGGTCAATGCATATCAGGAAATCCATACAATGCAATATCATACATATGCAATTTCATACAATGGTCTTACTGAACAACCATAAACACTGGCTATTATCAATAGTGCTGTTGTAGAAATCCATAGTGTTGTTGTAGATATTCATACGTTGGTTTCTATAACCAACCTTCAACCAGGTTAAACACTGGCTATTATCAATAGTGCTATTGTAGAAATCCATAGTGCTGTTGTAGAATCCATATTGCTGTTGTAGATATCCATACGTTGGTTTCTATAACCAACGTTCAACCAGGTCTCCACTTATCTTTCAGTATCAATAGTCAATTCAATAGTCAATAGTCAATATAAGAACAATGTAGAGCAATCGTATCAACATTCATATGCATATCTATACAATTCATCAATATCATAGAAATCGGAAATCGTACGAAAATCCAGCGGCATAACGGCAGTATACAGAATTTATACAAAAATCACCAAAACAGAAATTTACCAAATTACCACAGAACGTGCACAACAACAATATAAGACTATTACTCTATTGAATCCAAATCAAATAACATCATGATATTTTCCTATTCAATCAAAATCGCGTAGAACCCAAAATGATCGGTGAAATCGTTCCAGAAAATACTCAAATCGTATAGAATATTCGTATCTATAACATTCTAAAAGTTGTGCGGTGAAAGTTGTCTCAATATAAAATCATGTCCAAAATTCGACTACGAAAACACAAAACAAGTCACAACTCGATCAAAAATCAACATCTCTGAAAACAGAAATAGGATTCGGAGTCCTTACGACGAGATAAACAAATAGCTCAACAGCGGCGATGGACGAAAAGCGCTCCGCGGCCTCCGAAATCGAACTTTTCCTTCGCTTTCCTTATCTTTCTCTCTCCTCAGATATTTTCATTTTTATAAAATGATTTTCTCTCTCCTCAAATCGAGCTAATTTCCTTATAACATTAGTCTGATCGGCCCGGCTGATCGCCACATCATCCTGCCCGATCAGAACAAAATCAAATCGGCCCGGACGATTCCTCAGGCCGATAATTTTGGTTTTGCTCTCGGGATTCTTATCGTATCTGATCGTCCCAGGACAATCCAAAATCGGCTTGGACGATCCCATTCCAGAAATATCAGCTGTTTCAATGCACTGATCGTCCTGGACGATCTCAATATCGTCCTGGACGATTCTGGGAGAAAAATCAGATTCATACAGCAAATCGAAGGAACGAGCTCTCACAAAAACTTCTCAAAAATTTTCTTCACTGTTTGGTTCAAATGTATCCTAAGAAAAACCTTCTCACGCAAAATATCAACCACGAACACAAAAACCTGTGAAGGAAGTCCCTTCTCAGCGATTTATAGCAACAGGGGAAGTGGATACACGAGACGGTCGAGGAAGGGAAGTCGCGAGAATCACCTTTAATGAGGTATTTTTGCGGGAAAAAGACGCGCCAGGCACTCTGCGGGAAGAAGAAAAAATTTCGGCGGGAAGAAGACGTTGTGAGCGTGCGTGGAGACGGAGTGGTAGAAATGATGTATAATAGGGTTTTCAGTGGTATTAGTGTAATATTAATAAATGAGGTGTTAGATATGTAAAATGATAGGTATATAGTGGTATGCATGTAAATTTCCTTTATAAAAAATACATTTAAAACACATTCAAATTTAAGAGTTCAAATATAAGGTTATTAGTTTTTTAATATATAAATATTATTTTCTAATAACAAGTTATTCTTTTTTATTTATCAATTAATTTCTCTTTTTTTTCTTATTTTATTTTAATTATTATTTGAGTCATAATTATTTTCTCTCTTTTCTTATAAATGAAGCAGCTTGTGAGCCAGCTAAAATTTGAGCTCCACCTCGATTCATTAATCAAGCTCAAGTTGGTGGTGACTCGAATTTGACTTGACTCTTTTACATCTGTGATGGTTTCCTGTAAGATGTTTGTCCTTATTTATGGAATAATGAGGAGAAAGTTAAGTTAGGATTTGCTGATTAAAGTTTTGTTTCAGACGGCTTCCTTATTGCTTCTTAAAGTAGCTATTTAGTTCAAATTTTTTAATTTTTGTATTAGGAAGATGTTTTAAGAAGTAATAAGTCGTTCCAAACAATGTCTGACGGCTTTCCTTGTTGGAGAAATGAAGAGATGAAGAGATGTTGATGGAAGTAGAAGAATATATTTTTTTCTCTTACCATTTCAACAATACATCATCCCTATTTATACTAGTGGTTACAAGTAGTTCTAGATTTCTCTATATATTCTAGAAACATCTATTTTTAATAAGCATTTACTTCAAAAGATAAGCATCCTAGAAGATTCTACATTAATACTTAATGGTGGAATAATCTAGATAAGGGAATACTCTAGAATGATGAATACTCTAGAATGAGAAGCATTAATTTCTAATACTCCTCCTTGCTGCTCATTTTTGTGACTCCAAGTTTATCACGAAGTTTTTGAAATTTATCTCTGGATAGAGCCTTTGTGAAAATGTCTGCCAGTTGTTCTTCAGATTTGCAGTGTATCAACTTTATTTCTCCTTTAGCTTCTACTTCTCGTAGGTAGTGATATTTTATAGCAATATGTTTTGTTCTGTTGTGAAATACAGGATTCTTAGCCATAGCAATAGCAGAATTGTTGTCACAATAGATCACTATAGGAAGTTCATATTTTTAGCTCATATCTTCCAGTATTTTGCAAAGCCAAATTGCCTGATTTGTAGCACCTG